CTCTCCAAGGGAAATCTCCCTCTATTCCTCTCCCGGGCTTGCAGTCGCTGCCACCATCCCCCTTGCCTCTGGGAGCCTGCTCCCTCGTCTCCCAGTGCCCACCTGGGCTTTTCCAAATCCAGGCAGCAGGAGCTTGGCCACAACCTCTTTCATTTGGAAAGGGTCAAGGCAGAGGGCGGTCGGGTTCTCCATCTCTCCCCTTGGCTCCAGGGCACACAGCTTGGCGCGAGGCTGCAGGGCCACGTGCAGCCGGCCCGCCCGCAGGCATTCCCTGGCCGCCGTCGGTGCGGGGGTGCGGACCCCGAGCTAGCGACTCTCCCGGCTCGTAGACAGGCGGAGGGTCGCCCGGGTCGAAGCAGCCAGGTCTGCTGCAGGGGGAACGCAGGAGGGGAGGAGCTGCAGCAAGAGGGGAAGGAGGGGGCGCGCCGGCCCCGCCCCCGCCGAGCCCCGCCCCGGCGGCCGGAGCCCGGGTTGCAGCCGGGCGCGCAGGATCCCGAGAGCCCGAGAGCTAGCGAGCGCGGCTGCGGCCTCCCCTGCGCGCGGCGACCCGGCGTCCGACCCGCGGCCCCGCTGTTCCCGGGGCCCGCAGCCCTGCGGCAGGGATGCATCATGGCCACGCTGGCCTGCCGGGTGCAGTTCTTGGACGACACGGACCCTTTCAACAGCACCAACTTTCCCGAGCCCAGCCGGCCGCCGCTGTTCACGTTCCGCGAGGACCTCGCGCTCGGCACCCAGCTGGCCGGGGTCCACCGGCTGCTGCGGGCGCCGCACAAGGTACGGCCGGAGAGCGTGCCTCGGGCTGGCCGCAGCCCCTTCCCGGTGCGCGCGGGCTCGGGGCGCCGCAGGCTGGCTTGGCTGGGTGCGGCCCCCGGGGACCGGCGTCCAAGGGCAGGTCCCCTCCCTGTTAAACGCAGGGGACTTGCGCACCGGTCGGCTGGAGCGGGACCCCCTGGGCGGGCAGTTCAGTCCCAAGCCCGGGCCCCAAGCTGGGGGCGAACGCGCCGAGCAGGTGCAGCGGGGCCCTGAGGCGGCGTGTGAAGGTTCCCGGTCGCGGAGCCGTTAGCTTGGCCGGGTGGGCGGGGTGGGCTCGGCCCCGGTACCCGGGCGCGCGCAGAGCGGGGCGCGTACAGAAGCCAGGCGCCGCGGTGGTCAGATCCTGGAGTAGAGCACTGAGCGACGCTCGGGACAAAACCCTCTCGGGCCTCGGGGGCGCTGCGGTCGACCTCGCGACCCTAGCGACAAAGCATGCTTCCCGGGGACACCTCCTCCTTCTCCTCCCCCGGGGGGCACCGCGGAGGACGCCGACCGAGCGCTGTGGTAGCGCTCACAGTATCCCCTTTTTCTTCTTAGAAGCAGGTGGCCTTGGGAACCCTGGAGGAGCGGTCTCTGTGGGAGGAGGGGCGGGGGGGGGGCGGCGCGCACACAAAGCCTCCGCCTCGGAGCCCCAGATGAGTGTCCCCAAGGAAGAATGGTTTCTCAGTCTACCCGTTAGCTTTTTTTTTTTTTTTTTAATCCTTTGAAGGAGGAGGGCAGGCGTCTTGTAAAGTGATTGTTGCAAAGAGCAGGGCATTGAAAGCTAATCATTGAGTTATCCGGAAACACCCTTCCTCCCACTTAAACAGATTGACTGCACCTTGAAGAATTACCTCCTTGGTGTATTTTCAGCCTAGGGTTCATGTCAAAGCTTGGAGATGATTTATTCCTCCAGGATCAATATTGACAAATATTTGCAAGAGATAACCTTTGCTGCTAAGAAGAACAAAACTGATTTTGAAAAATTCTTCAGATTTCTGTATGATGTTCACCTGCTTTGGAAGTAGGGGAGGAGAATGTGTGGAGAAAGCCTTCGACTTCGGGTGGCCAGAATAGCAGTTCAACTGGGAGACACAGGGGCAGAATGGTGGACTATGAATTCAGCTTATCAGAATCACTTTAGTAAATTCTTTGGTTCTTCTCAATCAGCGGATTCAGTGAAAAGTTTTCAAAGGGCTTCTTCCGCATCGTGATATTCCGTTCATTTTGGTCTCTGATTACAGTGATCTTTTGTTGAAACCACAGAAGACTCATAATTGTGGCCCTGTGACCTTGAAGTGGTTTCATTGGATTTCAAACCCTATATACATGAGTTGACCTTTCAAACTGAGAGCTGAAGATTTTATGTTTCCTTGAAGAGCCCCCTAGTCTTGCTCTCTTGTGGAAATCCTGGTGCTTCAGCCCTGCCCCCTCCTCCCTACCCCTGTACTCACAGCCACTGTACAGCTGTGGCACTGACTTGCAGAACTTTCTAAAGTGTCCTTTGTGAATCGACACAGCCAGAAAGATATCTTTCAGAGACCCTGAGCCCTTGTCTTGAGGACCAGCCATCCTTACTTAGAATCTTTTGCCCAATGACCTCTTGTGGTGAGCAGAACAAAAGTTGGGCATTCAGGTGCACACCTGTCATCCCAAGGGTTTGGGAGGCTGAGGCAGGATGGTGGAGAGTTGCTGATTAGCCTGGAAGACCTAGTGAGACCAACTCTGTCTCAAGAAAGAGTAGGGTAAGTAGCTGATTTTATTAATCAGAGTTCTGTAAAACAGTATTCAAGGCATTTATACACCTAAGTGTACATTCATATTTTTAAGATACTAATTAGCATCCAATGGAGAATCTTAAAGTTGGATGATCCACCTATAATAGAATTAATGAGTTTTAGCCTCTGGCCTGCAGCGTGTGCACCAGTAGGGTTCTTAATGTGTGCTTTCTCTTATAATTGCACATGTCCACCAAGCAGGGACTCTTGTTATCCCTTTTGGTGATGGATGAACTGAGGCAGAGAGCAATTCATTTTTCTTTTGGTGTACACATGTAGTTTTATGGTAACAAAGCAACTTGTACATTTTGAACATTTAAGACCGTATATCACCTTTTCCTTTCCAGTGAAAACAAAAAAAGAATTTAAGAATAAACCAACAAAGTGACAATAGAGAATGTCAATTGCAAATGTACAGGTTCTGCTGATTCTCCCATCGAGTGGCAGGGCTCAAGTCATCATTAGGAGAGAATTTTATTTTATTTCATTTCATTATTATTATTATTTTACTGGGAAAAAGAAGTATATATTTAGAATTAGCTAGCTAGACTCAGTTTAACTGATCCGAATTTTGTTGGCAACATCCAATGCATCATAATCAGGAGCCAGTCGAACATATGCCTTCTTCTCTCCATCAGGCCTGATTAGGGTATTGACCTTGGCAACATCAATGTCACAGAGCCTCTTCACAGCTTGTTGGATTTGGTGCTTATTGGCTTTGACATCCACAATGAACACGGGTGTGTTGTTGCCCTCGATCTTTTTCATGGCTGACTGTGGTCTGGGGCAACTTAATGATGGCATAGTGTCAAGCTTGTTTCTCCTGGGGGCGCTCTTCTGAAGGTATTTGGGCTGCCTCCGGAGCCGCAGTGTCTTGGGGAAGGTAGGTGACATCCGTATCTTCTTTTTGTGGCTGTGGATGCCCTTCAGCACAGCCTTGTTGGCCTTCAAAGCTTTTGCTTTGGCTTCAGCTTTGGGAGGGGCAGGGACTTTCTTCTTCGCCTTCGGCAGCATCTTGGTAAAAAGGCTGAGAATTTTATTTTAAAAGTGTCATCTTAAACTGCAGCGATGGGCCCGGGAGATAACTCAGTGGCTTAAGCACCTTCCTGTAAAACTTTCTGACTTTGTTGCCTGGCAAGCACAGTGTCCTGAGTTCAATCCCTGGTACTGCAAAAAAAAAAAAAACAAAAACAAAAAACAACTTTCTGAGTTCGAACCCCAGTACCAAAACAAATAAAACAAAAACAAACTGCAGTAATGTCTCTTAACATCACAATTAAACATACCAAAGGAGAAGCCCTGTTGTCAAATACCTGCTTAATTCACCCAAACATCTCAAACCCAACCTTTGCTGACCTTCTTTCCCCCACTTTTAAAAGTTTTTTAAAAATATTTTTTTAAACAAGAGGAAGTAGACAGGTGTATGTTGGTAAATGCTAACTGTCTATAGTCCTATAGAGACACAGTGTAATCTCTGAGCCCAATATACAGAGGAAAGAAGGAAAAAGCTAGAATATTATGCACTACTACACAGAGGCCGAGCTTCCAGTAGACCAAAGGGAGTGAGGGTTTTCTTTTTTCTCATAGAACACAATGGTGTTGGTTCTAAAATGTTTATGGAGACAGGAGGGGATCCAAATGAATTTAGAGAAGGTTTAGAGGTCCTTTTCCTACTGTATCCTGCTCAAAATTTCTCCCCACAAAGTAAGTTGAAAACAAATAACCTCGTTTCTCCACTCATAATAGGGAACCACTAGTAGTAGGGAACTGGGAGTCCAGTCAAGCCCATGACTCAAGATCTCAGTGCTACTAGGCTTCCTGGACCAGCTGTGTGACTATGGACAGACGTGGTACCTCAGGGCACTAATGTGCACGGTTCACCCAATGACTGCTTCAGGCCAAGCACTTTTTAGTCTGGGGCCAAATTTAATGTTAAAAGCAGGAGAAAGATCTCGCAGAATTCCTGGCCTGGTTGAGTTCATGGTTAGGGGTGGGACCTATAATCACAAACCCTTTCTATGAGTTCACCTCTGGTGAGGGAATTGGGCTGGGTGTCTCATTCCAGACCCCTGCCACTAGTGAGCCTTTCTGAGCTGCAAGGAACTTACCTCCCAGGTCTATGAAGTCTGGCCTTAGGAAGAGGGAGAACTCCTCAGGGTAGGACTCTGTGTGGTAGTAAGCAGGGAGGAGCAAAAGCATGGTGCATGCACACACTCCAAGTGTTCTCTGCTGTCCTCCATCTTCAGGTACCCCTGAGAGTAACTTTCAATTGAAATAGATCACACAGAGAAAAGTTCGCAGTCGTAAGTGTACAGCTGAGTGAGTTTTTGCAAACAGATGAACACACCTGTGCAAGCAGTCCCGCAAAGACCCCCTCAGAAGGTCTTAATGTTTAAATCTTGCCTAAGGATTCCCTTGTCTTGGGAACCTTTGAACTGAGCAAGCTCTAAGCCCTTTCTGGCTGAAACTTGAGCCTGAGCCTCAGCTAATGACATATTAATTTCGCTCATGTCTGCTGACTCCACTAAAAGTTGCTCATTTTGCAAATGTGCTGTCTTGGAGAAAAACAATATATTGTGCTTCCCTCTCCCTCCAAAACTGGTAGAATTAAAAAAAAAACAAAACACCAGCTTTGCATAACAGTTCTTGGGAAGATGATTGAATAGTTTGGTAACATATCTGGTCAAAATTGGTGAGCTGCTCATTTTTGTGGTTCTATGTTTAAACTGTACTTAGTAACACCTTTTGTTTTTGTCCTCAAATGTTGTACAAGTGAATATTAGTGTTTATTTCTGCCTTGATATTAAAGAAAAATTGTAATTATAAGATTTCTGATGTACAAAGCACTATGCCATAGAATTCATAGAATTAGATATATTAAAGCTTAAAATGTGTTTTGGATTGATTGTAGTGCTAAGATGGGGTGTACACTAAGGTGGTTGATGTTCATTTTAGAACACAAATCCACTGGTATTACACTAACGAATGTCTAAAGACATTTATGAATTTAACGATTGGTTTCTACTCCTTTGACAAAACTGGAATTGTAGAGTATTTTTATAGCGATGATGAGTATGTCAAAGTGACAATTATGACTTAGTAATTTTTTAATGATTTAGAATTTAATTTAAGAAATATTTTATTGCCTTCTGTTGGCTGGAGAAGCATGGTGGTAGTAGCTGTGCTGTCCTAGGCACTGGCCAG